CAAGGGAACTGCGCAGCTGCCACCGGGTTAAAAACCCCACCAGCAGGCACCTCATCCCGCTGTTTTTCATCCCAGTGGTTCCCGGGTCCAGCATGGAAGTGGTTAAAGTGATGGGTAAGGGCTACCCCGCTTTGATTTATTGGCTGGCTGAGTTAATTTGCTATTTGTGTGTGATTAGTTGTTGTTGCTGAGTGGTCATCTTCCCCAGCTACAAATCTAATTAAACTCCGGGCTGCCTGCTCTTGGGTCTGATTTTATTTTATCTTTTTTTTTTTTTTTTTTTTTTTTAAATCGCTGGCAAATATTTCTGCTGTTTTAATTCTTGAGAACTAATCATTAATTAGCACGAGGCTGCTGGAGGGTTTCTTGGGTTTTCCTCGCTTCCAAATTTGCCTAAAGAAGTAAAATGAGGAGCAGTGGGGACTCCCCAGCCCGCTGAGGTGTTTGGTGGGATCAGCAGAGAGCAAGGAACAGCTTTTTTTCCCCTTCCCAATTTTCTACAAAGCCTGGGGAGGGGGTTAAAAGGCTCCCTGGAATATCTGCTTCCCCCAGTCCCCTGATGACACGTCGAGCTCGCCGTGTTTCGGGGTTGTGGTGCCGTCCCTTTCCACGTTCGTGGCTTCATCCCACCATTCCTACGGCTCCGAAACAGGACATAAATTCTAGAGATTTCGGGCTTGGAGGTTTCAAAGTCGTGCTGAACCACATGGAAATGATTCTCAGGGCTACAGCTATAAAATTAATTATATTGCTGGGGGGGGGGGGGGGAAGTGACATGAAATGTCCCCACAAGAGATTTCGGCGGCGGTTCCAGGATCTGTCCCAGCTCTGTAAGAGCTCGCTGTGATCTCCAGGGCTCGTTTATCATCGCTACCTAGAACTCCATGAAATATGCCCCCCGAAAAGCACTAAAGGCAGGAATGTGAAGGGAGGTTGCAAAGGAGAAGCGTTTCGATCTTTCCCTTTGTTTTCACGAGGATGCTTTGAAAAGCAGAGCTCCTCTGCGGAGCCGAGCGGGTGCGAGGATGACTAATTTGGAGACAAATTAGGTCTACTTAGCCCAAATGTCTGCCTTGAATGTTCCCTTAATGACCCTTCAACGCACATCTCTCCCGATAGGACTTTCTACCGCAGCCCTGCCTCGGGCAAATTAAGCAACAACGTGTTTTTACCGCTTTTTCTAAGCGGTCCTTTGGTTTTGATTCAACTTTTCCCCTTCCCCGTGCGTGTCTCCAGCTCTTTCTGATGGTAATTCATTTATTTGTGTCCGGGCCAAGGCCGATTTGTCTTTTTGCGTGTCTCCTTCTCCGGAGCATTTTCCTTGCACCCTGTTTTTCAGAGATCCCTGAGCCTGAGCGTTTTTTTGGCTGACTCGCAGCGTGGTTGGTGTCTGCTGGGTAACAGATTTATCCTTTCCCAGGGAACGACACGAACGTAAACAGAGGCTCCAAAATGCCTTTTGCTGGGCTTTTAAATGCGCTGAGATGAAAACCCCCCGCTACAAACCCATTAATGTAAATACCAAACTTTACAATCCTTCCTGTCAAGGAAACTTATTTACATTTTTTGAAGGATGCGTCGAAAAAAAAATAGGGCTTTTGGGACAAAAAGGGCTTAGTTCCAGTGTCACTACACCCCCAGCTCACTGTGCTGCTCTCAGATACTCTAGAATTAGGTTTTGTTCCCAGGGCCAGCAGAGATAACATCTGTTTGCTTCTTTAAGGAGAAAATGAAATAGGATGCTGGTGTTTTATACTGGAAGCAGCCCTGGAAGCCTGAAGGGGCTGCGGATCGAGCACACACGTTGCATGTGGCTTCTCCAGCAGGGAAAAGATGGGAAAGGTGTTATTAGTGCCGGTGCCAGCCCAGGGGAGGCAGAGTGTTCATCCCCAGTGAGGGGGGTGTTGGCAAACTGGTCTTACTGGTGCGGGGGTTAGAGCTTCGTTGCCCTTTACGCTTTGCTCATGGTCCTGACATCCCAGCTTTTCCCTACTATGTCTTTTTTTCCGAGTGGGTGTTTTTTTTTTCAGTTTAGAACATCTCGAACGTTTTGAAAGCGAAAGAGGGAAGTGGCTGCGAGGGGAAGGGGCGCAGGTGCCGCCAGGAGGATGGGCAGGTTTTGGGGGGGGAGGAAGGCTCAACTCAAACATCCCATTGCAGCCCTTGAAGTGCAAAGCTGCGCCTGTTTCTCCTGAAACTCCAGGAGTGAGCTGTCTGGAATTCCATGGAGCAGAACAGGAAAAGCTCTCGTGGCCAGAGGAGCGACCTGCTGGCGCTCGCAGGGGCCAGGTGGCATTTTCCCAGTTCCCAAGGCTCTGATTTTCCAATCAAAAAGCTCCTCTGCTTTTTATTTCACTCACAGTCCAAGAGGAATGACTGTTCCTCCAAGGAGAAAACCTTTCCTTGCTTATGTCTCCCCAAAACCAAGGGAAAAGGGAGGGTGGCAACCCAGTCTGACCGGTGCTCATTCATGCTCCTTACTCCCTAGGAAAGGCAGGAGCTGATCCTGAATTCAGACAGCAGATCTTGAATTCAGACAGCAGATCCTGAATTCAGACAGCTCGTTCACGCTCCCTACTCCCCAGGAAAGGCAGAAGCTGATCCTAGATTCAGACAGGAATTTTGCCTGTCGAGGCTGCGTTTGCTCCTCCGTTATCCGCGAAAACTCCTCTGACCAGGACAGACCCGTGCCAAAGTCCCTGTCCCCCCCACCCAACTGAGTTTCCCCATTTCAGGGTACTCCTGGAGGCTCTTGGAGTGCTTTTGGCCCTGCTGGCAGAGGGGGTTCATGTGGCCACAAGCGCTCGAATTTGACACCGCTCCGCACCAGGCCATTTGTCAACAGCGTTTTCAACAGTTCAACCGCACGCGTGTTCCCGCTCACACAGCCACGGGAGAGGGGGGAACTTCGGCAGCTTGGGAAAACGACCCCTGGAGCAAAAACCGCCTCGGAACACCAAGCTGGAAGTTGGGTTATGGCGGGTTCCCCTTCCCTCAAAATCGACCCCAAAACGTGCCAGGGTTTAGTTCTGACTCGTGGGTCTTTTTCGCTCGGTTCGTGATTTCGCTCTCATCTAAAACCTGCCCCATCAGAACAATCTCAACAATCATCGAGGCCACGATTCTTTTTAAATCTAGTTTTCAAAAGCAGGTTTTGCTCTGTCCTGTGTGACAGGAGTGGTTGGACATTAGATAACAGATTTTTCAAGCCATCCTTGGCTTAATGGCAACACATCATTTGGGAAACAACAGAATAAATGCATTGTCCCAGCCCAGCACTTTGCTACTCAGCCAATCTAAACTGCTGAAGAAATATGTGTTTGGGACATTTTACATCTGTTTTTGACAAGAAGCCTGGGTTTTTGCGTGTGGGGTTTTTTTGGTTGTTTTTTTTTTTTTTTTAAATCTGGTTGCTGCAGTTTTTTAGCCAGATTAGCACAGGAAAAGGCACTCTGGTTTATAAACCAGGCTTAGCTTGATAAAAACCCACTCGACTTGGGCTTTTTGCAGATGAAACGAGGGCACGGCAGGCAAGAAACAGGAACCCGGCAATAGCCATAAACCCCACGGCAGCAGAGTCACCTATTTAGATAAAACTTATCCACAGGCAGCTTGTGCAGTGGGTAGAATAACTAATTTTGAGACAGACTAACATTTTGGGGGCCCCAAAGGTCCACCATAAGGTGGACACCTTAACTGCGGCAAATCCCAAGCCATCTCGGGATGTGAGTGAAACATTTACTTGCAGTGGTTTCTCGAATGGTTTGAAGGCTGTTTTACACCCCTAAGTCCTGGCTGAACGTTTTTTTTCAGCCTTTTCAAAGCAGGTACTGCAGTTGCATCAAGTTTTTTTGCCCGGGGTTTATTTTGTGTTTATTTAAACTGGTCGTTTACTGCTGTTTAAACAACGATGGATTTGTCCCTTTAAAAAAGCCCCACCAATGGGCTGGGATAAACTTTTCCTTCTTCAGTTCTCCACATGATGAAATTATTTCATTTTTGCATTGCCAGGGTGGCGGGGGAAATTTCCCTTTGGAGTGTTTGCTTGGTGAAATGGGCTCGTGGGCTCTGGTTTATGTTCCGAGCCCAGACAGCAAAGCCCGGCTGACACAAGGCAGAGCTGCTCTGCTTAATTAGCTGGAGATGAGGGTGTTATTAAAAGCCTTTTCCCCCCCCCTCCTTTCTTACTGTTTATTCCTCCCTCCCTGAATATTACAAAGGCAGCTGAAGAGGAAGTAGTTTTCTGCTAATGGAAAACCACGAGGAAGAATTTAGCGAGGAGAGTAAATAAGAAACTCCGTCCAACACCAGTCGTCGCTTCACTGGGGCACTTTGGGGAAGGGAAACCGGACAAATCCAAAAATTTAACGAAGTTTCTTCTATCTTTGGTTGCTTTTTGTTGTGTGAGGGGGAAGGGGCACAGCTCGGGGTTGCAGCTGACATCTGCTACTCGTTTCTTTTAAGAGAAACGCAACCTAGGGCGAATTCATCGCCGAACCCCGCGTGGCTCCTGGTCCCCCCAGCCGGGAGAGGATGTGGCGACTGCAGGACTCAACACTGGGTATTTTGGGGTGCAGGCACCCCTGGAATGTGGCAGCAGCTGTTTCAGATCTGTCCCCTCGTCAGCCTCTCGTGCTGATCACCTTTTCCTCTCCAAACCCTTCCCCGAGGCAGCGCTTTCTGGCAAATCTCACGCGGCGACGTTTTCCCCCTCTGTCCCTCATCATCTCCACACCGGTCCCCTCTTGCTTCCCCATCACCACAGAGCAAAACCACACCAATTTTAATTTACTTTTCTCCCCCCCCCAACGGGGCAGGTCTCATTTTTGCCCGCCTGGAAGTTTCCCGGGCGCAGGGGGGAGCAGGAGGGACCGACACAAACCAACCCCTTCGCCCCCTGGCATCCCCGTGCCACACCATCCACGCCAGCCTTCCCCAGGGCTGGGGAAGGGCCAAAACCACACAGAGCATCATCCAGGAGAAGAGAAACAGGTACCTACCCCGGGGGCAGCCGGTGGCTAGTGGGAGGCTGACATGGACCACGCTCCCTCCATCCTCCACACGGAGAAGGCATAACTGAGCCTCTCGTGAGCCACGTAACTGCAGCTCGTCATCTTACTGTCCATCTCGTCGCTCTGTAGCACCTGGTAGAGGAAGTCTATGTACCTTGCTGCCAGCTTGAGGGTCTGGATTTTACTCAGTTTGTCCGAGGGCAGCGTGGGGATGATTTTCCTCAAGGCGGCAAACGCTTCGTTGAGCGACTGAGTCCTCTGCCTCTCTCTGACGTTGGCCAGGATCCTCTGGCTCTGCAGTTCTTCGTAGGATTGGGAGCTGGGACTGGACTTCTTCCCCCTCTTGCCTGGGTTGGGGCTGCCATCTTCACTGGACTTCTTACTGTATCTTCTCTTCCTGCCAAATCTCTTTGGCTGCCTTTCCAGCTCCTCTTCACTGGTCCCCAAGCTATCCACTGGGGAAACAGGAGAACTGGAGCTTTCTTCCATGCTTTCTGCAAGAAGAGGAGGGGAAGAGCTTTCCCCCCCCTCCTTATGTTATGTGAGTGTGTGTGTGTCTTAAATGTGCTTTAAATTCCTGAGACAGATCCTTTGGAAAAACAGGAGGACTCTTTTTCTCTCTCTTTTTTTCCCCCTTTTTTTTTTTTTTTTTTTTTTTTTTTTTTTTTTTTTTTTTTTTTTTTTTTTTTTTTTTGCTGACCAAACGTTTTCCAGGTTGCTCGAAGGGCTCTTATTTCAAGGACTGGGGTTGTGCAAAAAAATTGAGGTCTCGGAGAGAGGAAGTTATTCTAACTTTTTGGAAACTTTAGCTGAGCTCAGTTGCTAAATAGTTGTCAGAAGTGAGGGAGGTGCGGGGCTCCCTCCTGATTGGCCACTCAGGTCGGTGGGAGGAAGGCTTTTCCCCTGCTAAACTTTCACAGTTTTATGTTACACTTAACTAAAATCTTGGGAATGCACCTCGAATAAAAGATAGCTGGCCTGTGCCACCCCCTGCCCCCAGAGATGCTGAATCTGCAGGACCCCTCCAGCACAGCCTCCCCCCCAAAAGGGTTTTCGGGGTGCTGATCTGCCTCCTTGTTCTCCCAAGGGTCCCATTCCCAGATCTGTGGCCAGGCTGCAGCAGTTCCTTGCCCAAATCAGGGTGCAGAGTGTGCCCCATTTTTGCAGGATGGGCCCCCATTTTTACAGAATGGGACCCTATTTTGCACCATTAGGGGCCCTATTTTGCACCCCTGGGTGCTGGGGGTCTTGCAAACCCCCTGTCCTGTGGGGATGGGGTGAGGATCTGCCTCCGGGTCCCACAGGGTGACCTCAGAGTGGCAAAAGCTCCCCGGACACGTGCTCTGGGCTGTGAAAAGGGTGGAAGTTTGGGGCCAGGTGGGCAAAACCCCTTCAAGGTCCTATTTGTGGGGGGCAAGAAAAGATCCTCCTGGACTAACCCAACCCAAAACACGGATCAGCTGGAAATGGCTTGTGGAAAACCCCACGGAGAGTCCCTTGGAGAGGCGACGCTGACCCTGCACCCCATCTCCCTTTTCTCCCCAGTTTTCCCCCCCTCCATTAAATACTAAATAGGGAATTTTAGGGAATCAGGAGCCGAGGTAGGTAGGAGGACATTTTTTCCTCCAGAATATCCTGCTGTTGAATTTGTGATATCCCAGAGCATAAAAATCATGGGAGCGGGATTTTTGATCCATCAAAAAAGAAGACGACGGGTCTGTTTTCCCTCTCCATCACACCGTGGGGGGAAAATGTGGGAAAACTCTGCTTCCTTCTGTGGAGTTAAGGCAGAGCAAAATCAGATTTGGACCCCTGATTTCAGTCACAGCCCAAATTGCAGGAGCAGGCGCATTCCTGAGCAGCAAAGATCATGTTTTCAACCCGGAGCAGGGAAATAAAATAACCCAATAATAATAAAAAGGAACAAGACAAAAGAAACTCGTAAAACGGAGCTGTTGTATCAGAAGAGTTAGTTTGGAGTGGCTTTCTTTTGCAAAGTTTTCCAGTAGGTATCAACACTCATTAATGGAAAAAATAATGTGTGGTTTGATTGGAAAGTGTTCCTCGGTAGGAGAAGGAATTTTTGGCTTGCCTGGGGCTGACTCCACTACTGTAGGTAATGTTTATAGTGGAAAGACTTCCCCAGGCAGCCCCCGGGGACAGGCTGTGTTTGCTTTCCAGAGGAAAGGTTTTCAGGTGCAGCACAGAAGTCAGAAAGCGAGGCAGTTCTGCAAATAGATCCTAATCCAATTTAAGACCCCAGTGAGTCAGGCAGGACGGGTGTCACTCCCGAAATCCCGCTTTCCAGAGGGTTTGGGGCTGCTGGACAGGTCCGAGGGGTGACCCTGCATCCAAGACCTGGAATTCCATGAGTACCAGTGGGCTGGGATGGTGTCCACCAGCCCCCCAGGCCCCAAGGCAGATATGACCCATTGTAAGGGGTATTTGCTTTGTGCCAGAGGTATTTAGGAGTCTCCTCAGTAAACGGAATCATTTCCAAACCTTAAGGGAAGCCGGAGTGGCACCTTTCCGGCTGCAAGGAGACCAGTTTTCCCAGCAAACAGGTTTCCAGGACCGTGTTTCCTGTGGGTTTGCAGGGACATGTGAGCACGAGAGGACAGGTGGGATGTGGGGCTGAGCACCTGGAGTGCCCTGCCCCAACGAGGTGCCTGGAAGAGGCTGCTCGGGAAGGAAGCAGGGATTTGTTGAGCTGTTTGAGAGCACCAGGAGCAAGGGAAGCAGATCCCAGTTTGGGAGAGCTGCTGTTGCTGCCTCTCCTCTCCCTCTGCTCTGCCAACATTCTGCATCTTTTTAAGGCCCTGCCATGACCACCAAAAACAGGGTTTGATTTCCCAGGGAGTGAGGCACTTCCATGGGGTGGGATTGACCCTTCCAGGGGTTGGAGATGGAGGTGGACTGTGGGCATGGACCTCAAAGCGCCCCGTTCTCAGCTGGAACACGGGTTGTGCCTTTGGGATAAGCACTGGGCCCATCCCACGTAAGCAGGACACACAGAGCTCCGGGACATCACCCTGGAGCCGTGATGGGAAAAGGACGTGACCACGTGGCGTGATCCCGGTCCAGCCGAGCTCCTGCCGCTCCTGGAGCTCTGGGACGCGCCTCTCTGGGCTGAGTATCCTCTACACTGAATAAATACTATTAAATTAATCAATGAAATAAAGGAATGAGACGAATGAAAGAAATAAACGAAATAAATAAACACATCAAAGAAACCCTGCCCAGCTCCTGCGAACGACACCGAAGGGGGGGTTGCACGATGGAGCGAGGCAGGATTTCCCCCTCGGGGGTTTGTTGCTGTGTAACCTCTGCAAGTGCAAAGCTTTTTAGTTTTTAGTATCAGGCAGGATTCATTAAGGGGAAATTTATGGTGGGACTTGGCTGGGGTGTGATTCTGGAGCCTCGGAGCCCGGGGCCGTGTGTGTGTGTCCGAGTCCCCCAGCAGAGCTCGGTGCCAGAGCCGAGCGCCGTGTTGACAAAAGTGCAAATATCTTCCCCGGAGCAGAGCAAAGGCACGGGCCACGTGTGCGCAGCCCCGGCTGAAACGTGAGCCGGCCCTCCTGGAGGAACAGGGAATTCGGGGAGGTTTGTGGGGGAGGCAGGAGCGCGGAGGTACCGCCGGCGAAGGAGGGTGGGGTGGGCGCATCCTTCCCTCTACCTTCCCCTGCTGGGGAGGAGGTCGGGAAAGAAAAACTGGGATGTAAAGTATGGTTTTGGTGCAAGTTTAGTGCCTTGTTTGAGTGCCACGATCAGGCTCCTACAATTTTTTGTTAGAGGGAAGTAATGAATCCGGGCTGGGATTTAGGGGCAGCACTTGTTCTCCATAGGAAGCCTGTGGTCCTGCTGTCCCCGTGGCAGGGCTCGGCCAGTAAATCACCCTTGGATCCCTCTGTGCTGCAGAGGAGAAGGTTTGGATTTCTGCCTCCTGCCACCCTTCCTTGTGCTTGCTGTGGGAAGCAGGCAAAGGTGCCCTGATAGCAAAGGGAATTCAGAGCTCTTCCAGTTCCCCTCTGCTGGGGAAGCTGCCCGGAATGCCAATTTTTGGAGCAAACTGGAAGAAAAAAAAAGATGCTCTTGTGTTCACTGCCTTCCCCCTCCTCTACCTGCTACAGAGAAAAACATCCTTTCTCCTTTCAGAAACATCCCAGTTCCAAATTACATCAAGCACTGAACCTGTAGCCAGGTCTAATTTCCCCCCCATACACACTTTTTAGAGGTTGATTCCTTAGTGCTTGTGCAGCAACCACTAAAAATGATCCCGTGTGTGCATTTTCCATGTGCTGCCTGCTCCCTGTGGGCTTTGTTCCCTCATCCCTCGTGTCTCTCAGCCGGATATTCCCAAAGCACTCGCCCTGCAGTGACAAGTTTATAATCAAAAGCAAAGGAGCAGCAGAGATAAGAGGCAGGAGAGAGGGAGGGAGAGGCTTTAGGGATGAGAGGGTTGGAGCGACGCACTTTTCCAAAGTAATCGGATACGGGAACGTCGGAGTTTTGTGCAGGAATGTACATCTGGTTCTGAACTGTTACCAGCTGATGTGCCCGCTCTTCCCTTCTGCTTCCTCTCTTCCCAGCCCTTGGAGCAGCAGACACCAGACAGGGAGAGGCTGCAATTCCCACCGCAGGATAATCCTGGCAATAAATGCAACCAAGGGCAAGGTGTGCTTTGGATTTCCAAGGTGAGGAGCAAGATGGCTTCTCTCTCCTTGGTTTGGTGGATCCGCCAGGCTCCCTCAGCTTGGTGCTTGAGGAGGCTGGGAATTTTAGGCAAGACTTTACAGGGTAATGACAATAAATGACAATAAATAAAAGAGATGGGAAGGAAGGTCAGAGGTTCGATCCCTGCAGGGGCCATTCACTGCAGAGCTGGACTCGATGATCCCTGTGGGTCTCTTCCAGCCCAGAACATTCTGATTTTCCCAGTGGACACCTCTTCCTCCTGAGAAAGCCCCACAGGCCCTTTGTCCATGGCAGCTCCATCCAGGTTTTGACTAAGCAAAGTGTGAGTTTCAAGGGCCATCTTCTGGAGAAGAGAACTCTGGGGAGACCTTGGAGCCCCTTCCAGGGCCTAAAGGGGCTCCAAGAGAGCTGGAGACGGACTGGGGACAAGGGATGGAGGGACAGGACAAGGGGGAATGGCTTCCCACTGCCAGAGGGCAGTTAGATGAGATATTGGGAAGGAATTGTTGGCTGTGAGGGTGGGGAGGCCCTGGCACAGGTTGCCCAGAGCAGTTGTGGATATCCCACTGGAGCATGTCTTGGAGAGGAGAGGTGCTTCTGAGTCCTGTCCACTCCTGTGGGAAACACAGAGAGGCATTTAAAGTTATGGATACACTAAAATCAGGCCTGAATTTCTGACCTGAACCCCCTCTAAATTAGGAAAGATCTCCGGTGGCTCCAGCAGCTGTTGGGTTGGGATCTCAGGCATTCAGCTGTTGGAGGACCTGTTCCCATCTGCACATCCCAGCTCTTGCCAGCAGGACAAGGGTAATTGAGACCAACCACAACTCTGCCTGGGTGCAGTATTTCAGATATGATCATTGATTGCTGGCAAGGTTAGAAATCCGGGAAATTTCCCTT